CTGGGTCACTGCCCTTCCTTCCCATGCCACCCATCCACACGAAGCCTTGGTTTGTTGTTGCTACCAAGGCTGACTTGGAAAACACCCGGGAGCAATATCAGGCCCTACAAAAATACCTGGCTGAAGTTCAGAATGGCACCGTCGAACATCCTTCTGGCCATGCAGATGGATGGAAGGAGAAAGTGACTGCTCTCCCGGTTAGCGCCATGCGTGGCGAAGGGGTGTCGCGTATCCCAAAGTTGGTGATGCAATATTTGGAGTAAAGTGGGGGAATTCTATAAATGTAAATTATCATGTACACTAAAAGAAATATCGACATTATGTATAATACCTAGTATATCCATGGGTTATTAGTTTACTACCATCATGATCTCCGAGCCACAACTCGAACGTGGGGTTGTATAGAACTTGAACCCACTGCCAGTGGTCAACCCCACACCTCCAGGGCTGCCCAAGTTTACTAACATATTTCTGGCGGGCTGCGGATATCTCCGTTTACCATCCACAACCTTGGAACTTTGGAACTAACCCTGCGAAAGGAGCCTGAAAGGAACTTGAACCTTTCAATACACTGCACCCACGATGACGAAATTTCATCAATAGCCTTGGAACTCCTCTGCTCCTACTACCAGTACAGTCGCAAGTCATGTCTCTCCAGGCTGTTGTCAGTTCGGCAGTGTCGTCCATTGCTCACCCCACTTCGGAAGATCTGATCATCGATTGTCGCCACAACATCACGGGCATATTTGAAGATCCTGATGGATTTTTAGCGTTGGCGGACTCGAAACTACGCGTCTTTCCCTTCAAAGATGTCCATGTCTGCTGGCGACGGCTGTACACCGACGCGTCTATCGCGAAATCGTGTCTCATCATTATTCGAGAATGCAAGCTAAGTCAACAGGCTGAGCCTGGCAAGTCAGACCTCAAGAAACTAGCCGAAGAAATCCAAAGTATTCCAACGCCTCCTCAAATTAGCCCGGATGTCGCATGGCTCTCAGAAGTCGTTCACGCGCTGGACAAGGCATTGATCATGACTGGCGCGCCATTGCGCGAGAAGCTTATCGAGGAATTGTTGTCGGCGCTTCAAGCAGCTACAGAAGGCGAGGAAGAATCTCACACCTCTGACCAAGGCGACAAGCCGCCCACGAAACGAAGAAAGATTTCCTCCTCCCTCTTCCCTTCACATTCCCTCCCGATACCCCGCCTCGAACACCCCGTCCCACGCGTATCGGCGCCATCCTTCGACTCGATCGAGCAACATATCCAAAATATTCGCACCCCTCTCGTCATAATAGACACATTGGATCATTGGCCAGCTCTGTCGACACGGTCGTGGACCTCGCGCGAGTACTGGTGGAAGCGGACATTCGGCGGGCGCAGACTCGTTCCTGTCGAAGTAGGCCGATCATACACGGACGACGATTGGGGTCAAAAGATCATGGAATTTCGAGAATTCGCGGATCGATTTCTATGGCGAGGCGAGTTGGGCATTTGTTCGACTGGTGACAATGACGAGGCGGAGACCGGGTACATGGCGCAACATGATCTATTGGCACAAATCCCAGCTCTGCGAAATGATATCGGCGTCCCGGATTATTGCTACATTAACCCTCCAGATGCAGAACCAGGGACCCCGGTCTATGAGAGTAAGCGTCGTGACCGTGAAGCTGCGCAGGCTGCTTTGACTGCCCATTCAGAGTCAACGGATGGGAATGCGACTGCTCCTGATGGTACTCCCAATGCTTCGTCAGATGCAGGGTCGCTCATGGAGTTTCCGCAGGATCCGATGATCAACATCTGGATAGGACCCTCATGGACAATCTCCCCGCTGCATCATGATCCGTACCATAACATTCTCGTGCAAGTTGCTGGAGCCAAGTACATACGACTGTACTCGCCACATACACCCGCTTCACAGATCCACCCTAGAGGCAAGGAATGGGTCCCTTCTGATGATAAAGTCAAACACGGTGCCTCTGCAGAAGACACGGGCGATTCAAAGGGTAAGTACATCGATATGTCGAACACCTCCGAGGTAGATGTCGCAGCTATCGAACTATCTCCTGCCGAGGCAGATCAGTGGGAAGAACAATGGCCTGGATTTATGGATGCCGAGTATTTCGAGACAGTTTTGCAGGAAGGCGAAAGCCTTTACATCCCTGTTGGGTGGTGGCATTATGTGCGCGGATTACGCGCCGGAGTGAGCGTTAGCTTTTGGTGGTAATCTTGGAAATGAATACAATGAATCTCTCTCAGATCATGCGATATATGCTGTGTACTACCAGTAGTATGGAGGGCAAACCTTGAAAGGATCCATAGATTTCATGCTTTAGTACTATGTTTCGGGCTCGAAAAACTACAGCCTCGGAGAAAGGCTCAGCTCCCACATCATGATGCGACCTGACTGTATTCCACTTTGAGTCGCTCCATACTAGTAATTGATATTGTTTTCTACAAGTATTTCTCACAAAGGATATTGTCTATTCTTTACAAGGTTCTCAAATACTAATATTTCTGATCATGAAATATGAAGATTGTGGTCCCTATACCACGCCCAACGTTTGAAAGGGCAGAGGCCTCGGGAAGAAACTTAGATGCTATTTATCCAAGAATTCTTATGTCAGAAATTCTTCCAGATCTTGTTATATAGACATTGAAAAAAAAAAAACCAGTTCTGCCCAAGAGGCCGTATGAGTTGGTGAGGATGTTATATTCGACGATAGAAACTAAGAGCCCTGGTGATAACCTGGGGCTAATATTCACGACGAATCTGGTAGGCTACTAGTAATTAGTATTCCAACAATTAGTATTCCAGCGTGAAAAATGGTATCGGGGTATATAGTGGTGGAAAATCGCGGAAATGTGTTTTTTGAATGGAATATAGAAGCTCGAGTTAATACTATGTCTAGCATTCAAGGTCGCTCTAAGGTTGGGCCATGGCGAGGCTGACACCACCACCCCCGGCCGCAAGCTGAAATACCACTACTAGTAACTAGTACCAGCCTCGACTCTCATCAAACTGTAACATTACTATTCGGCCACGGCCCTGGAATAGGTGTATTTGCGCCATTGTCAAACAATCTCGCAGCGGAGTAGATGTCCTCTTAGTTTTCTCTTGACACGAAGCTATCGACGAGTTGTCCTACACACTTCAAAGTAGATGATTCGACAGCCACTCGACTTCTGATATATTAAGGCTTGTCTCGTGCCGAGAATACCTAGGGATACGGCCTTTATTATGACATTGGGCTGAGAGGAAGATATAATGAGTACTGGTCAGATATCAGAACGGGTTGGCTCTATGTGTTAGATCTTGGCCCAGCGAATCACTAGACGACAACATTGACAATACGAAATTTAATAGTCGCAGAACGCAGTTTCCTATATGGAGTGCTCCATACTCCGTACATCTTCTCACGATGGCCGACGCTAACCTCCACTTAGCGCCCAAAAGAGTTTAGCAATGCAAGGCGGGCGGTATTCGGGAGTTATACATATAGGGGCTCTGATGCTCCCACCCCTAGAAACCTCAGCTTATGTATTCAGGAGGTACGTAAGTGGCCTCTAGTATGCCTTGGCACTGAAACAGCGATCTCTGAGCTTTTCTGAAGGGGGATGGATAGGAGACGATCTGATTAGACGCGTGGGTTATGATTTGGCGAACCGCAGCCGAGTAACCAGTGGAGGAGTTTTCTCTGGTCTTGATGGTCTAGATCTCGAGTGAGCTGTTGCCTGATATTCCGTACATCTCCGTGAGCTACGGAGTAGAGAGTATGTATAAAAGGTGATTATCGTGATCGGCAAGTGAGTCTGAGTGTTAGCGCCCGCATCGGCAGTGACCCGACGGGCAAACTCAGTCGGGCAGAGATTCTGTAGCCAATACAACTATTGCATAGTGACTCTATGTGTAGAACATGCCAGAAGTGCCTACCTCCATATAAGAAGCTGAAGGGGTTAGGTAAGCGGTATAACTAACTAGTTACTCTACTCCTGTGACTAACTACTACTAGTTATAACTACTAGTGCCGGTTTTTGGTGCCGTGCCCTAACTCAAGTGAGCTCGCCACACTCGACGCGCCGGGCCCTGAATTCGGAACCCCATCACACAGAAGCGCCTTCTCTTTTTCGTACAAAGTTTCTATCATCAGCCTGTACTCAGTATTCTCCAATCCGTAGTTAAGATTATATAGACATGGAACCATAAATTTGATAATCTCCCGACTCTGGTTATGTGGAGTAGATCCGCCAGGCACGCGGCCAGATACCACGGATCAGCGATCAGCCCCGGTCAGATGGTGAAATTTTCTCTTGGCCTCGGGAGTTCGGCGGGCGTTAATTCCTGCCCTAGCGCGAGCTTATTATAGCGAATCTGAAACAGTCGGCATATGTTACCGCGGAGTTATCTACAAAGGTATAACTTGAACTGTGTGAGTGTTATTCCTTGTACGGGGTATATTGGGCATGTTTATACCTCATGCCCTAAACCCGTCCCGAGTCACTAGGGTTCTCCGGAATAACGCCCACACTTGCACTTCTCGGACAACTGAGCTAGAAAGTATTAAGTTTCAAGAGAAATTCGACAAACCAGTGGAGTCCAAAAGGGAACTAATATCGCCCCACCACCAATGAGGGGACTGCCCTGGAAGCCAATATCCACCGACTCCAGCAGCACACGTCAACTCCCGGCCATTAGGGCCTAGTCGAACGAGTCGCATCCTCGTCTTAGCGCCAGGCGTACGTATAGCACGGCGCAATTGTCCAGATGGCTTGCACACCTAATTTAATTGCAAAGGGCTGGCCCCATATCCCTCCCCCTCCTCCCCGGTGACCTTTATTTCGTAGATTGCGCTCTCTTCAATTCTAGATTTTCATACTTCCCAGTCCTTCCTTTATACCAGTCACTCTTTTGGTCCAGTTCGTCTCCGCGAGACGGCTTTTATTCAGCGTTTCAGGTGTGCTGGCTTAGGCATTAACCGAGTCATTCATTTTACCTACCCAAAATGCGTTTCACCTCTTCTTTCGTGCTGCTGGCGGCTCTGACCAGTGGTGCTGTCGCTCGTCATGGTCACCGTGTCCGCCATGAAGGCCATATGCGTCGCCAGGCCGAGGAAGTAGACACGACTGTTACTGTCACGGCCCATAGCACGCTCACTTACTGCCCGTGTGAGGAGTCTTCCTCGTCGATCATCCCATCGTCCTCGTCTACCCCAACTCCCATTGCTACTACGACCTCTATTGAGATTTCTACTTCTCTCGCACTACTCAGCCAGATCGTGGTGCCTTCTTCTTCTTCTTCTTCTTCTACTACCCCAGTGGTCGTGGTACCTACCACTACTGAAGTGCCCACTACTACGGAAGTGCCCACTACTACTGAGATCCCTACCACTACCGAGGTCCCTACTACCACTGAACTTCCTACCACTACCGAAGTCCTTACTTCAACATCCACCTCCTCGTCCTCCACTAGCACCAGCATTGCCTCCACCACCTCCTCCGGTGCCAGCGCTGACTGGAGCACTGTTCCCTCCAGCGGCGAGTTCTCCTCGTCTGGTTTCGGCGCGAGCACCAAATCTAGCGGCTCCGGTGTTTCCTACACTGGCAACGTTGGCAGCCCCTATGGCAGCAACATTATCGCTGTCGAAGCTAGCGAGGCTAGCAGCTACAAGTATGTCGTGCAGTTCACCGGTTCCAACACAGAGGACTGGTTCGTTGTGATCTGGAACAAGATCGGCAAGGATGGCAAGATGGACGGCTGGTACGGCAACGCCTGCCACTCGTTCTCCATTGCTGCCGGTGAAACCAAGTACTACGCCTTCGACGCCGACTCTCAAGGTGGCTGGGCTGCCGCTAAGGGATCGTCTATTCCCACCGATGACTACGGCGGTTATGCTGCTACCTGGGGTGAATTCGACTTCGGCTCCACTAAGAACTCTGGCTGGTCCGGCTTTGATGTCTCCGCCATCCAGGCCCAGAACGCCAAGCTTACCGTCCAAGGAATGAAGATCTGCAGTGTCTACAATGATTCAACCTGCTCTACTATTACCTCTGGACTGGCTTCCGTTGTCAATGCCTACACAAGCGCCTTGGCCTCGGCGGATGGCATTGGTGGAAACCTGAATTCTGGTGCCGTCCGTCTGGCTGTCACTCTCGACTACAGCTCTTAAGCTTTTGTCGATACGTTAGTTTCTCCTTGATACGTTTCTTTTCTTGATATCCAGCCTACTAGAATATCTTTACATGCGGGGGCTGGTTTGGTGTATTTCCAGTTGGTACATACTCTTTTTTTCTTCGACTACCTTTAACATCTTCATGTTTATCTTTTCATTCTACCTCATACTACCACACTGGCCCATTGAAGACAAGTTTTTACAAGCAAGATCTTTTCCTTTCTCCTTTCAACGCCAATCAGCTTGTACATGGCTTAACAATTTCTTACCCATCTCTATTAGTATCTCGTGTTGTAGCAATGAATCTTTAGTTTGTTAACTCCATCCCTCAACGAGCTCGCATAATGTCGCCTCTCCACCGACATTACCAGGGAAGACGACGAAAGGCACACCACGATGACGAGATGTCTCCTCATCACATCGCCACAGCGGCACACCAGGAGCTGCCTGGCCAACAATGAGTGCGCGTTTAGCATTCAAGCCCTTCGTAGCGGCGTCTGACGAAGTAATCCCCCCCCTGTGAGTAAAGTTAGCTAAACAGAGTCTAGCCCCAAGTGGAACAAATTTGTGATAGTACCTTGGCAATTATGTACCGTGGCCGAACCTCGATTCTTTGCAGAACGCTGACCAAAGCTTCCGCAACTGCAGACCCAATCTTCAAGGAGGATATCTCGTCGCCGCCCGTGATGAGTTTTCGACTTGTCATGACCAATGTGTCCTTGCCAGCCTTTAAGTACTCTTCTGTCTCTTTAACGATCTGTGCGATGGTCTTCGAAGCGGTCTCAGGCGAAGCGATGAGCTCCTCCACCTTGATCTCAATAATTGCGAGCTGACCCGTCGAGCCTCGACGATCAGTCAAAACCTTCAATTGCGCCGTTGTCTTAGGAACATAGGATCCAGCCACGATGAGTCCACCTGTTTGTCTGGGAGAGGGGAGACCGAGTTCAATCGCGGAAATGGGGGCTTTCGATCGGATACCGAGTCGAGTCGAGACGAACGCTGCACCGGTGCGGTAGAGGAAATGCTTGCCCTGTGACTCGGCTGTTTTTTTTTCCTCGATGAGCTTTGAACCGGTTGAACGTTTATCGGAAAATGGGAAAGAAGAGTTATACGTACCCAGCAGTAACCCGGCCACAAAAACGTGCATATCCGACTCCGCAGCCGCATTGACAATCACTACACCACCAGCCGGGGCAGCAAGCAACCGTTGACAAACGGTTTCAGGTCCACCTTTCCGAATCTCATCGATGGTGACGGAGAATAATTGGTCGGCCGTGAACCGCCCGGGCGCTTTCTCAAGTACATAGTCCCGCAGATTAGAGGACTTGTATCCGAACGTCGCATCCTTTGCGAATTGCGTCGCACCCGCAGGAACGAGAGTATCACCCTCAGCAACGTAATGGACATCGTCGATCGTATAACGTCCACCCTGGAAAAAGAACGGCGCCAGGACGAGTGCGTTGGCAGCTCCAAATACAGACTGCGCAACATCCGGTTCCAATGGGAAGTGTCCGCGCAATGTGCTATCGCCTCGCAGTACGATATCAACTTTATTGCCAGTGGCTTTTGCGGCCAACGATACATTCTCGCATATGGTTCGGATAAGGGTCTCTGCTTCTGTTGGAGGGAGGGCGCGCGAATTGGTTAGGATGAAGAAGCCTCGGGAATCGGTGCGGAATTCGACGGTCAATGTTGCAATGTCCCAGACTGTGAGGACATTGATGTCATGGCAGGTTTGGGTGCCGGTTGGATCGTCGTCTAGGACAACAAGGCGGTTTATGGAAGCTGTGTTGAGGATCTGCGAGATCTGGTCTTGCGCGTCTGTTGGGTATTCGGCCGGGAGGGACGCGAGGGTATTTTCGCGGGGGAGGGTCGGAAACTGCGACATTTTGTGGCTATTGAATCATTGACGTATGCTCAAATCCCGACGCTCAAGACGGCGATGTTGGCTCTTATGCGTTCTCAAGAAGTCGGGAAATCGGCCCTGAAACTGCGGGGTGCGGGGAGGTCGGCCGGAGAGAAATCCGAGATCGAGGCGGAGCATCGAGTTCACACATGGTTAGATGCTTCTTTCGGGTCAATTCCGAAAACTAGGTACATGGTGGCATGCCAATGTGGGGTAATAAATTCGTTCAGATGGCTATTGGTAAATATAAATGACAGGAAAACTCAAACTCCATCAAACGCCTAGCCTGTAGAGACCTCAGATGCAAGATGCAAGATGATCGCGTGGATATAGAAGTGATGAATGAATGCTTGCAGCAGGATATAATGCATCGATCAATCGTCGTTCGGTCTTCCACCAGAATCCATTTTTCCTTGCCATCCCATCCCAAGTCTCCTCCTAAATCCCCATGTCTTGAAAACGTATAAACCAGTGTGCAAGCGGGTCGTAGACTGCGTGAATGAGTAACTCGATTAGAGTAATGGGTCTAGCCCACCACACTGCGGAAGCTCAACGCTTCCAGGAAACCACCCAGGTCGTCCTTTGAGACTTCAACAACACAATGGTCGAAGCTGTCGATACGAACTCGAGCGTTGGTCTCTTGCACCACCTCTTGGAAGGCAATGCCAAACCTGTTGCGCAAAAGGTGCTTCTTCGTACCTGGGTCCTCGTCCTCGGACTCTGATTCGGACTCAGACTCAGACTCGTCAGATTCTTCGTCTTCGGCTTCATCATCGTCTTCTCGTTCAGCACGCTCAGCTGCGCGCTGTGCTCGGCGAGATGATCGCTCCTGTTGTTTTTTATCCCTGATTTCCTTCTTTTTACTGCGCTCCTCTCGGCGCTTGGACATGGCAGCATAGTCAATTACACCTCCACCGCCACCAGTTCCCACAACAACATAAAGGTCACGGTCTTCATCTAGGCCGGCAAGGACGAGAGGTGTACCCGCTGCACGTTTCCGTCCGATCTTGATGGAATCGCCCTTCTCTCGCTCTTGGACACGGATGGCCTCGGCAATCCACAATGCGAGCTTTGTCAAGGCTCCGGGGTTGGTAAAAAGCTTGACGTCAGGTCCGTCTTTAACAACAGCTATGCGGAAGGCTCGAAGATGGCGGATTTGATGCTTAGACAGTAGTGATGTGCCAGTGCGAAGAATAGCACGGTGAAGATGTTGAGCTTGTGGCAATGCTTCCATGAGCAAGGTAGGCGATTCGGACGTGAGTGAAAGAGCATCGTACGCACTCCAGAATCGAGGAAGAAGGCTGGCCAAGTCTGATTCGCCAGTGCCACCTCCATTCTCAACATCATCGTTAGAGCCCCGGGCCCGTGGAAGACGTTTAGCATCCCAAGATGCGGAGGTCTCATGCGGACCAACCTCTAGCATGGCACCTATAATGACACCAACATCTGTGGCAGATAAACAAGCCTTCCAGCCCCAGCAACGAACGAACCCCCACCCTTCACGGGAGCTAGCATGCCCAGTAGGTTCTGCAGGAACCAGTCCGTCCAAACCGTACATAGGAGCGTACTTAAGGAGTCGCCCACGTAGTACTCGCTTCAGTTCCATATCCATGTGCGTATAATATTGATGGCATTGGGTGAGGCTTATACCCATCTTGGCGAGGAGTTTGTGAAGACGCTTCCTGCCGTTTTCCGTCCAGACGTGAAGCCTGGGGGCCAGGTACGGGCTGTGCAGCATGCTCTCGTACAACGACCAGTGACGAACAAGTAGAAAGCGGGGCTCCGGAGAGAGTCGAATGGATGTATCGGTCGGTGATCTGGCAGTGGTAGGAATTACGCCATTGATCTCTCCTCTGATATCTCGATCGCGCTCGAGTGGATCGGGAGGGTTCAAACGGTGAACTTCATCACGGAAAATTTGACGGAGCTGCTCTCCACGTTGCCCACCCCAGCCAGCAGATCCTCCTTCTTCGGACGAATTAGAGATACCCACACCAGTCATTGTTCGACCGCTTAGCTCTAGACTTGAAACTCCAACAATACCAAGCCAGAGGAGGTCATTATCCTCACGACCGAGTTCAGATGCTAGCGAGTAAACCAACGACGAAATGGGCTCCGAGTATGAAGTTCCAGAGGAATAATAAGACTGCAATGTCGCGTCGTGTTTTCGTTTCATACGAATCAGGCGGCGTTTTAGAGATCGGGCCGATAACTGTTTCGGTTCTTCTGGTGAGGGCGAATCGCTACTTGGGGTTCCGGAGCGTGAGGAATTCGAGGAATTTAGATCCCTCTTTCTCCGCCGACTTGGAGATGAGACAATCGAGGAACCCTATGAGGCGTATCAGCATTTGTCCTACAATAAAGAAATACTATACTCCATACTGAATTGCTTCGTTTTCGTTGGCGCGGGGGACCATCCTCCTCGTCCGAATCGTCATCGTCTTCTCGGCCTGACCACGACTTGCGCTTTTTGGAGCCTGTCGGCAGAACCTCCTCTTCGTCATCGTCACCATCACTCTCATCATCGTCATCCACCTCGGGCATCTCAAGAAGCGCATAGTATGCGTCTCGTTCGCCGCCAAGTTCCTCTTGAATATCGCCGTCGTCAAATACGATGATGCCGCCATTTTTGGACGTGTAGGCAGGTGTGATGCGGCCTTGGTCGACACCACGCCCGCGATTTCGTGCGTTGACATCAATTTCCGCCATGGCTTGGCCCATACCGGCCTGACCACCAAAGACATTGGCCAGGTTCCAGGGTCGGCGCGCGTCGAATACCCAGATCTCGACCCCTCCCATATCCTCCTCGACCTCTTCCTCTTCTGGTTGGCTCATGCCTAGGATCTCGGCCAAATCAACTAGTCCGCCGACACCCAGGCATATTACCACACCTCCGCTTCCGCCATTAGTGGTCTGCATGGGGCGGACCAACTCCTCCCCGGCGCGCGCGAGGTCACCATATCCTGCAACGGGTTGGATTTTATGAGGGATGTAGTCGCGTTTTAAGAGAGCCGTGAGAATTCGACAAGCACAGAGGGCATCGGGTTCGAGAGCCACGAGAATCAAGACTGGTGGGGAGAGCGGGTGGTGAGATCGGAGGAGTTGTAGGTATAGGTGGGAGATGAGCTGCCGTGGAAGATACATGGCCAGCTAAGGAAGATTAGAGACACATGAGCATGAATAATAAGAATATTAGAGGCGCGCGTGAGAGGACTGATAGTGGCCTGCAAACGGGCAAGTCGCAGTTGCAAGTCCGATCTTTAGACTTGGACTTGGACTTGGAATTGGACTATGGACTTTTGACGGAGAGCGCGCGCGACGCGTTGGGGACGGGGCACGTGCCCGAGATTCCATTCTCCGCCGCCGTCGCCGAGCTACCCACACTACTCGAGTTCCCCCTGCTTCATACTTTTAATTATTTTTGTGATTATTGTGATTGTTTTGTCATGTGGATCCTATTTACTTGTGGAGACATTCTGTAAACCTCCTTGGAGAAGGAATTGTTCTCTTGAATCGAGTTTGGTGATTGAGCGCAGTGAACTGTGCTGGTATGGTATAATGGGCTATTAATGGCCAGGCTATATCGCATCCAGCGAGTTCAAATCTCCTCTTTTTGCTTCTTGATATGTCAATTGACCAATTTATATGTATTTTTCGATTTTCAATTGAACTGAATTCTTCATTTGCTATGCACTAGTGGACCTGGGCGAACGAGTCGATCTTCTGCACAACAACCTCTGGTAAAGGCCCCTTGGAAATATCATCCAAGGTATTCTGTAGGATCTGCGAAACATTACTTGCCCCTAGTATCACTCCATCCTTTTTGTCCAAGATCAAATGATAAAGGAGTCACATTAGACATGCTTCTGCGCCACTAATCTCGAGCAGATCAACGGTACTAGTAGTGCTTTCTGCTCGGTAGTATGACAACCGGCGGGCTTGGCCTTCTGATGCAAACGCAAAGTTTTATACTTTAAAAAGTGTATTTCTGTAATTTATTGAAAGTAAAGTGTGAAAGTTCGCTGAACGCCGTACACCATCCGAATGCTATACATGATTACATCAAGTCAAGAAACAAAACTACGAAAAAAAATTGACGATATTGACGTGCTTCTATCATATCAGTTGGCCGAACGGCCCAATATAGACCCGGCAACCCAGACCGCAGTACATGCACCGACAACAGATAGACCGACCAGCCGTTTGCCCCAGCTGTTATCCTCGGCCATCTTCGTCGGGCCAACAGTCTTTTTGGGAGCCAACCCGACAGAAGAAGATTTCTTATTCTCACTTTGAGATTGGGTGGAATTGCCTAGGATGGCAGAGTACTCTTCACCGCGCTTGCGCCACTTCTCCGCCAACCGTGAGATTTCGGCTAGATCCTCCTTAAGAGACCCAGGTTCGGTAGCGTTGGCGTTCTCGACTTCGACGTTTTGAACATTGCCGAAGAAATCCACGACGGTGCGCAAGCGACCTTCCTGTTCACCACCAGGGAACAAGTCCCATCGGACACCAGGCTGTGAATGGATCTTCGACTCATCATATGAATCAAATAGATCTCCGAGATTCAACTTGGAGTTGGCGCTTGTCACTTGTGTCTCCAAGAACTCCAGCACATAATATGTCCAACGGTCGATGACAGCGACTCCGACATCGTTATCGGCATGGTGGGAATAGGAGGACTGGTCCAGCTCACTGGAGCCCGTGGCCACAATATTGGGCGAGTAGAAATGTGTGTACATCGTATTGGCCTGGCAGGTATCAATCATGAAAAGAAGCTCATGATAGCGCTTCTTCTCCCACATCTGTCCAAATGCATCGGCCAAATCCCACGCGCCGATCTCCTCCGCGTCTTGGAACTTCAGGAACTGGTCTCCGCCGTGACCGGTCATATACACCAATACGTTGCTGCCGGCGTCGGATCCAAGACGCTTGCTGCGCGGGACATCTTCGTCGAGACGATCGGTCAATAGTCGAATGAA